ATATTTCATTTTTATGTACCTAATTTAGGTTTATAGAAACTGAATACATTTTGGAGTCCCAGATCAACAACTTTTTCAACCCTTAAAAATTTTAGTAAAATTTTACCATCAAATGTATAAAAAAAAAATATTGAGACTGTAAATAATGTAAGCATTTGAAAGTAAATAGTGAACACTTTGTCTAAACGTCAAACTTGGTAGGTTGCAGCCAATGTCGAACTAAAACATTCAACGGTATTGAAGTAGCCTATGAACAATGTATTTGATGAAGAAAATCAATTCTGTCATAGCGAATGAAATGATGGAGGGTGAATGCAAGGTCATTATGAGGTCAGTTGAGGTGGCACTGGCAGTAACCTTCCTGTTGTGTCTAGGCCATCCACTGATTGCAACGACACACTTACCACTTACAGGAAATATAGCAAGCAACACCCTGCTAAAATGTACTTTGCGACAGTTAGATGTATAAAACTACGACTTATTTTTTTACCTAAAAAAAGACAAAGTTGTGTTTTTAAGTTGCTCTAGGAGTTTGTGAATCATAAAATGGACTTGAAGTTTATCAAAATGTTACTCGTATGTTAACTAGAGGACCAAATCATTTCAATAATTGATTGTAATATAAGTAGAAAGTAAAAATGTTTTCTCATTTTTTTTTAAAGCAGATGTGTTTATTGTATAGTTTTATCCATTCAGTATAATTTCACTAAACATATTCTGATCAAAGATTTAACTTTGAATTCAATTTAACTCCTTGGATTAGAGTTTTAATTTTGGTTCTTTGAACACTTTTTAACTTATAATATAGGCCAATAAAAGATTTTACGTGATTTTACATTTGGATAGCTTTAATTGTCCTTAAATTTAATTAACAAGGCTTGCTGGATACATTGTAACAGTCTTGTCAATACAATCTTGTCAAGTAGAACTGTAGATTCAATTTTACAAAGTTTAACAAAAATATTTCTAATTCAGTATTTTCTAACAACTATAAATTCGGAGGTTGCTTAGCCTTTTTGCAAATAAGTTTTAAATGGTGAGGAAATCGACACTTGAAAATAGAAACATGAATAAAGCCGTTTTTAAAGTATTCTTCTTTTTTTTACTTTTTCACTACCTACTGTACAAATTTTTAATCAAATCAACCTGCTTAAAAACACAAATTATAATTTTCATTAACCCATTAATTGACCAAATCAATTCAGTAGAACTGTAGATTTAGTTGTACAAAGTTTAATTAAAATATATCTAACTCGGTATTTTCTTCCCACTATAAATTCGGAGGGTGCTTAGTTATTTTGCAAATAACTTTTAAATGGTGGGGAAAAAGTGGTAGATGGTATTCTGAAAGATAATATAATTTCCTACAAATTAGTACTAAGTACTAAGTACTTAGTACTAATTTCTTGAAAATACCAAAAAAGGCAGTCATAACTTGCTTCGAAATAAAAAATGTGCAAAACACAGTTTTCAATTGAATATTAATGGAAAACGTGTTTTATTTTTAATTTTTCATCATAATTCATAACAAAATAGTAGTTTACGCAACGATTGCGTTAAGTGAGTCTTTACGACACGAGTAGAAATTTTAAGGCACGAGCCTTGGCGAGTCCCTTAAAAACTTCTACGAGTGTCGTAAAGACTATTAACGCGAGTTGCGTACACTACTTTACCTACGACCGTTTTTTAATTACTATCAATCTGGATTTAATTACTAACAATAACTACTGATAACTTTTTAGAGAGGTTATGTTTTCGTGTATTGTCATTGCCACTGAAAGTGATGCAACGGCTTGTTGTATAATCAGCTGATTTCCTGTAATTACGTGTTTGTTAAACTTCGTTAAATATTACATTGCTAGCAGCATTCTTACCATAAATAATATTGTATCAGGTACAATTCGGCAAATATTTCATTTATTTTTAGACTTCCACCAACTTAATTAAGAATACGTGAGTATCAACATGAACAAGTCGGATCAACAATTAAATTGGTCAACTGATCAGCTGATCAGCTGATTAGTTGACGTTTGAAGCATTACAATTTTAATTCTTTTCTCTCAATACTTGAACCTCATTGGTCCGTTACCTGTGTGGATATGAGAAAACTATGCGGGTATGAAATGAAACTATGCGGATATGAAAGTAAACAGCTGTAAAGTGAAACTTTTCAATTCTAAGAACTGGACTGAAATGGCTACTTTAAAAAACGGTCGTAGGTAAACAAATTTTCATAATTATTTACAAATCTACATGGATGAAGGTTACCATTGACCTATTAATAAATAAAATCGGTTCAGTAAAACTGTATTTATTTGTACAAAGCTTAACAACAATAATCTCTAGTTCAATATTTTCTCATCATTATAAATTTGGAGGCTGCTTATCTTTTTTGTAAATAACTTTTAAATGGTGAGGAAATCTACAAAAGTGGAAGGTGAAATTTTGAAACAGAATACAATTTTCCACAAATTACTACTATGTATTTCTTGAAAATACTTAATAAAGGCAGCCAAAAGTTGGCTATGAATTGAAACTTGAAAACAGAAACTTGAAAAAGCAGTTTTTAATGTATTTATTTTATTTTTACTTTTTTGCACAAATATTTAATAAAGTCACACTTTTATAGTTTATTTGCAAATCTACATTAGTTAGGCTTTCCAATGACCCATTAATTGACAAAATCGGTCCAGTAGAAGTCTAGATTTAGATGTACAAAAGTTTAACTAAAATATCACTAACTCAGTATTTTCTCACTACTTTATAGGCTATAAATTCGGAGGTTGCTTAGCTTTTAGAAAATAACTTTTTAACGCTGAGGAAATTGACCAAAGTGGAAGGTGATATTCTGAAAGAGAATAAAATTTCCTACAATTTGATACGCTGCATTTCTCAAAAATACTCAAAAAGGCAGCCAAAAGTTGTATTGAAATAAAAAATGTGAAAACCTCTGTTTTCATTGTATTTCTAATGTTTCATAAATCATAACAAAAACTTACTTTTGTAATTATTTGCAAATCTGCACGAATTAAGCTTTCCGTTAATCAATAAAATCGGTCCAGTGGAACTCTAGATTTAGTTGTACAAAGATTTTAAAAACTGAATTATACAGACTGTCCCAAAAGTCCCGGACCGGTTTAATATTTCCTAAACGACAACAGATAAATCAATAAAATTTTGCACATCAACACCACACTAAAAAATCTACTTTTTTAAGGAACTATCAGTTTTCTGTCATATCATGGGGACGTCCCACGAAGAGTCAGAAGGAAATCTTAAATAGGAGCATAGGTCAATATGCACATCAGTTTAAAGGGCTTAGCTAGCAGAGTACAATGCCGGAAACCGCGCCTCGAAAGGATCACCCGTTACAAAATGGCGGCCGTTCAAAGATTTCTTGAACCTGCCATTTTGAATCTTTGAACGACTGCCATTTTTTACTCAGGCGTTCTTTTGAGCTTGAATTTACGGCATTGTAATCTACTAGTGAAGACCTTTAATTTGATGTGCATATCGACCTATGCTTACGCTAACAAAAATGTTCTGACTCCTAGGGCTCTGCCCCCAAATGTAAATTAAATGAATCTTTGAACCACTGTTACTCTTGACTTGGTTGTCCGTTTGAGTTTAAATTTGCAGCATTATATTCTGCTAGTAAAGACCTTTAATCTGATGTACATGTCAACCTATGCTTCTATTTAAGATTTCCTTCTGACTCCTTGCGGGACGTCCCCATGATGTGACAGAAAATTTATATTTCCATAAAAAAGTAGATTTTTAGGTGTGATGTTGATGTACCAAATCTTGTTGATTTATCTGTTGTCGTTTAGAAAATATTAAACCGGTCCGGGACTTTTGGGACAGTCTGTATATAAGTAGGCTAGATAAGAATGGGGGGATCATAACATTAAAGAAAATGCTTGTGGACGTTGTGTATTATATCATTGTATGATTTGACACATTGTTACCAACTTATGGTTGACTTTAATAGGTGGGAGGAGTTCCCTTAAACATGTAAAGTGATCAAATGACAATAAAAATAATTGAAAGTTAATCAGTGTTTACAACTATAAATCAAATAGGTTGTCCAGTAATTTAAAATTATTTTACTTCAAATAACAATAGTTATATGATTCCCAGTTATTTTTACCATCCAAAGTGTTTTGTCGTTGTTGTTCCAAACCTTTGTTTCAACGCTTGTCCTACATATTCAGATGGCTACAAAGTCCCATCTCCCAGCCACCACCGAATACCTATTGTAGTAATCATGATTGAACAACAATGGCTGCCTGTTACCACTTCATTGTGATATCTCTACTCAGTGTTATCACAGAATTAACTTTGTAAAATCAAATAATAATGAAATTATTAACTTTTAATATTTTTAAGTAATAAACCAAAAACTAAAAAAAAATATTGTTTGGTAACGCAGTTACAGGATCATGCATTTTATATGGGAAAATTTAGTTTTTGGTTTATTTATTTTAAATGGATTCTTCATATGGGATTTCAATTAAAAGCTTGTGCTACTTTCTGGTGATCAGAGGGTAACTTCATAATAATATAAGTATATATGATCTATATTCAATCAGTTACTTAGTTGATGGCAATGACTAACCACTTAAAATTCAGTTAAATAGACATCGTTTTTGAGCGGTTGTTTGAGTGATTGTTTTTAAAAAACGTGGTTGACATTATAACACTGTGCAAAAACCAATAATAATAGATTGATTTTACCTCAAGAGAATTCCTGTGGTTGCATGGTTAAGAAGCAAACTAGATTAGCCTAAGCGTTGAATTATAAACTCCTAACAAAATTGTTGACTGCAATAAATGTAGGAACATTCATGTATTGAAGGTTTAGTTTGCTGCAACAGACAGGTTATGTGTTTGTTTGTATGTATGCTGCCTGATGTACTGATTACTCAGTTTGTATGCCTATGTTTGTAGGTAAGCTGCCTGATGTCCTGATTACTCAGTTTGTATTCCTATGTTTGTAGGTAAGCTGCCTGATGTCCTGATCCCCACAGAATGGAAGAGCATGGTGACAGACTGCACACGCAAGATGAGGGACCAAGTCCAGATGGAGCTTACTGCATCTGTCACGTACATGGCCATGGTGAGTAACTGTTACTGTTCCTTGTTTACACTATCAGCTGCCAACTGGAGATAAGCCATGAGGATTGTGCAATCACTTCATGTTGGTGTCACAAAGAACTCAATTTGTTTATTATTTTGTGCCACTTTCAACTAATCAAGTTTTTCCTATATTAACTAGACACTTTCGATAAACAACAAATTCTTTTAAACTGTGGCAACAAGTAATTGAGGCTCTGTTTGTTGATATGTATTATAGATGAACAAAAGTAAGGTATTACACTTAAAGCGGTGATACGTAATACTTAATGTTGCTAATGGCGTAGAGTAGCACCTAATATCCAATATTTTGATGATTTGCTAAACCTAAACACCACTGGTTGCTGGTGTTCAATACCAAAACTTCATGTATTTTAACACAACAAAATCTACTTAATCTCTATAAACAAAAAATAAACGTTTAAACCTGTGGATGGCAGGTGTTAAAATTAATCAGAAACAAATCTAAATATATAAAAGGCAAAGCCCTCACTGACTGACTCACTCACTCACTCATCACTAATTCTCCCACTTCCCATTTACCTAGGAGGCTGAAATTCAGTACACCGATTCTTTGGGCATTAAATAGGAAAACTAAGTAGTTTTTATTCTGATCGGGCTTTCGGGCTCCGCCCCAGTGGCTCTGGAGTTTCCCATGTTAACCTTATGATTTTTCATATTTAAAAGGAATTAATGAATCTTAACAGCTGTTTCAATTAAACAAGTTGGTTCTGTTCTATGATGTTCAATAGCATTAAAGTTAAAAGGATTACCAACAGGGTGCAGCACTATTATTTTTTTTAAATTTATGACTACAGCCAATTTGCAACCAAAAGGTTAGTGAGCGTAGCAAACGAACTTCAATGTGGAAGCGAGTTAGCGTAGCTAACGAGCTAACCTGAAGGCAAGTGAGCGGAGCGAACAAGCTCCAACCTAAAGGTGAGTGAGCGTAGCGAACGAACTTCAACCAGGACGTGACTGAGCCATGCGAACGAGCTCACTTGTGAAGTTAAACGGGGCAAAGCCCGCGGGTACAGCTAGTGAGAAATAAATTAGTCTTAAGGTACCCAGTTATAGGCCTAAGTTTTTTGTTTATGCCGTAGTTTTATGTGAACGAACACAGATAATCATTTCCTTCTGGTATGATTCTTGTTCTGTTCTTATGTTACACAAAATTAACTTCCATCGTGGTTTGTATAAAAATTTATTTCAAAAATCATTTATTTTGACAGGGATCCTACTTCCTTCAAGACACTGTAAATCGACCAGGCTTTGCTAAGTTCTTCCTAGAGAGCGCCAGTGAGGAGCGTCAGCACGCACTCAAGCTCATGGAGTACTTGCTCATGAGAGGAGAACTGACCACTACAGTTGAGTTCGACAAACTTATTGACAACCCGGTAAGTGAAAAGTTCCAACTATAAACTTACCAAACCTAAGTGGTCCGAATATCAAATTATAATAATAAATACCATTTAATTCATAGTAACACAGTCTATCTGGGAGACGGTATTGAATAGGTAACTATCGAAGTATTAAATTTTTTTTAAGATTTTCCCCTTCATTGCTGAAACCTAGACAATAATTAGTGTCATAATATTCACTTATTCATGTTCAAACTAAAGATAACTTTTATTTATGAAAATGAACAGTAATGTTTTGTTGTGGCAGAAACCCCTGGCTACCTCCTGGCCCAACGGAGTAGAGGCACTGAAAGCAGCCCTGGACCTGGAGACTAAGGTGACTAACCGCATCAGAGATATCATCGTCACATGTGAGGAGCCCTCCAACAAGTACAACGACTATCACGTAAGTCTTGCAATTGTCCAATTACATCTTACGTTGTTAAGAGTAGTACATTCAAAACGTCAAACTATATTTTTCTTAGGAGGAAATCGTGGTTTAGGACGAAGTATTAGGTGGGAATGATGAGTTATTTGTAGAAAAGGCAGTGGTGTACGCTCACGAAAACAATAAGTAGGCTCTAGTCACTGATCGGTGAACCATTCGAGAACACTATCGGTCGCTGCTACTGTCATGTTGTCACAACCTGTGTCATAATATTCTTGTTGAACTATCATTTGTCAATGAACTGTACTTGGTGACTTAGAATATTGTGTGGATAGTTAGAGGATTTTTGGTAAAATTTGGTTTTGATTGAACACTCTTTTGTTACTTCGTAATATGAGATGATGATCGAATCACCTAATATTAGTTTGATGTGTACATTAATCTTCGTCAATGGTTCAAACCTCGGCCATTTATCACATAGACTAGTTTCCCACTGGACAAGTAACACTCAAAACACTATGAGTTTTAGAATTTTTCGTCAATAAAAGAAAATTCTGTTATGGTTTTTGTAAAGTCATTTTTTTTCCACGACGGGACAAGTTAGAAACTCTGATGAAAGCTTAAATTAAAGCTCTTAAAAAGATACAAATGAAAAGTTAAGCTACACATTAGCTAAGTGGTTTTTAATAATTAAAATGTAACTATAATCAAAGCTGTTCTGAAACGCAATAGTGCGTGAAATTTGTACCGATATCGATCCGCAGGCAGGGAGTTCTCCCTTCCGTGACTGGTTTTGGCAGCACGGAAGCTCGAATGATGAATCATACATACCCCGCGAGGTTATCTGCCTACGAACCACCCTTACTCGTACCACTGAGTCATACTTAAATACCTACAATCCATCCCTACAATGTTATTATTGTGGTCTGAACATATTTTCCTCAGTCTGTCTGTGTTGTTCATTGTAGTCAAGATGCCCAGATCGCCACATTTAGAAGGTGAAATCACTATGATTTTAAAGGCTCGGTTTTGTTTTAAAAAACGAAGGTGTCAGGTGTAATGATACCCAGTTTATCAGAAGGTTTCGGAAGCGTTGGGAAGTCGATTGCATCAGTAAAGAATAAATATATGGTTAGGGGTAGGTACATTGTAGTGATAAGGTCCAGCGGTTTGGTCCGTGCTGCCAAAACCGGTCCCAGCAGGAAGAACTCCCTGCCTGCGGATCGATAGCGGTACAAATTTCACACACTATTGCGTTTCAGAACAGCTTTGATTATACGTCCATTTTAATTATTAATGACCACTTAGCTAATGTGTAACTTAACTTTTCATTTGTATCTTTTTAAGAGCTTTAATTTAAGCTTTCATCGGAGTTTCTAACTTGTCCCGTCGCTGAAATAAAATGCCTTTAAAAAACCAAAACAGAATTTTTTTATATTGACGAAAAATTCTAAAACTTATAAATATGATATATAAGTATATGTTCTAAAACCTATACAAATTTCAAGACGATTGGATCAGTAGTCTTTTTGTTATAAAATATTAAAGTCACCCGTTGTTGGTAAAGCGCCGAAAAACCTGTACTTTTTTCATTCAACCCGCTGAAAGTTTGAGTTGAAAATGCATAAAAAATTTGAAACCATCTCACATAAACGCAGAAATAAATTCGTAAAATTATGATGTAACTTGTATTTTCTTACGTCTACTGGTTACGGTGCAATTAACCCTCAAAGTCGAGTATCTATACTTTTTGACCCGACAGTAAGTTTGTAATTTTCAAGACCAATATTTATTTTAGTAGGAGTGTCAAGAAATGGGTCTTGTTTGTCATTGCAATCAACTTTATAGAATTTAAATTTTCATGTTATAGCCATTATTCAAGTTGTAATACTATTATATAAAGTTGGCGAGAAACATGTGTATTATCTTTGTTTGAAAAGCATTCCACTTATCTCAAAGTACTTGTGGCCTCAGATAACTTATCAGAGTTTATACAATCAGGTTTAGACTTTATCAAACTTGTTACTGTGGAAACAATTATTGTAATATCACTTATCTGTTTTCAATAATTAGTTTTGAGTTGGCCAGGATGTAACTTGACTATCCATTCCCACGTTAATTTGTCGCCGGGTTGAGAATAAAAATGAATGGTTGAAGTGAGCGACTGACAGAGGGCGCTGATGTGATTTACTGATTTCTCTCAAATACACCCATTTTCTAACCAAGCCAAACTGAAGGGATAACACTTTGTTAACTTATGTTATGTTGCATCTTTTATGTTAGAACAACTACCACAGTAACAAAAACTTCATTTTAGAAGGGAGAAAATTGCATTTTAGTTTAGACGACAGCTAATTCAACTTATGTTCTTTTGGAATGAAGAATGGTTCAATGCTGGTTCATAGATTGGATGTCTACTTCAGTATCTAAAAGAAAATGTTATAAGTTTTTAGTACTTTCATAAAACCCCCAGATACTACATTTAGGCGTAATTGAAGCAATTGCTAGTTTATTTTTGCCACACCTACTCTTTTGGACCAGAAAGTCAATATTTATAGAAAGGGACCGATAAAGTTAGCCGGAGTACGGTAGAGTCAGCTAGAGTATGGTAAACTTACTGGTCAGTTTTGCAATAAGTTACAACAATGTTACACTGTTGACAAAGCTACTCCTCCTTAGTGTGTACAGACTTGTCCGCCACATCAATGCGGTCAATCAAAAAGTATCGTACGCAACTCACCTGGAAGGTGTTTACAGTAAATCCCACGATCGGCAAGTCTTCCACGGGAATTATCATGCTCGTAACAAACACCTACAACCTACTTCCCAGCCTTGTATCTTTTGTTTACTGCACTGTGGTGTTTGTTGTGTTACAGTTGGTAGACTGGCTGACCGCTGACTTCCTAGATGAGCAATACAAGGGTCAACGAGAGCTGGCTGGCAAGATCTCTACCCTCAGCAAGATGATGAAGGAACACGGAGTTCTTGGCGAGTTCCTCTACGACAAGACTATGTAAACCATGACATCAGTTACATGTCACTTTACCGAATTTGAGCGACTTGATGATATTTTTATAGTGTGTAAATATAATATGTTAGTTAAGCACGATGATTTCACTCTAGACAATTACTTGTTAACTCTTACGTGCAGACAATGCAACAGTCAATTTTTACTTTATATGTAGACTAGTGTAAGATGTTCAATAAAGTTTTTTAAATATGTATTTGTGTATTTACCATTATTGATGTTTACCTAACAAAATATGCACCAATAAATTTGGATCGTACAATTTTTGCATGATCTCTGTTGTAAAAAACATTTTAAATGAATCTATAGTTATTAATTTATGAATCAATCATGCATTTTAATTTTCTAAATTTACTTTTCTGTGAATAGACTAAACTTTAGTTAACTAAAATGCGAAGAGGCACTTCGCTGCACATGAGAGAAATGTTTACGCACAAGCCGTAAGCGAGTGTGGAATGATTCTTGAGTGCAGCAAAGCCACTTTGCGCCCGTGTTACACATTATATTTTACCTACAGTTACTATAAAGCATACAAATAATAAGTCTTTCAAACACTAAACAACACGTTTTAGTTTAGGTTAAATCCAAGCGTTAAATCAAACACTGCACCTGTCACACCTGAAACACTGATCAAAGTCTTAGTAGGTGTTGCCTTTCTTTAAGTGTTGCCAACTTATTTTCAAGCATACACGTATTACGTTCCGAATAAAAGCACACTGTTTAGTGTTGATGGTTGGAGTACTGGAGTGTGGCAAAAGTAAGTAAATGCAGCAATTAGCTGCTTTGTGTGCCATAATTGGTATAAGAAAGCCCATTTGTCAGGTAACTGTAGGAAAACAAATTTATAAAAAAAAACTTTTTTAAAACAAAACGTTTTTAAACGCACTAAGAAGTAGAAAATAATTTATAAATATGTGGAGAGTATAAATACTTGTAAGATTTAAAACGAAAAACGTGGGGTGCATTCCCATTTAATTTTGAACCCCATTGTTTTTATTCACTGTGTATCCTATCTTCGTCTGGAATCATAATTAATCAAGATTCAAGAATCAAAGTAAATTTTATATTTTGAAGCTCTACATTTTACTTAATGGTTAATACGTACCTATCCATATATATAATACGTGAAGCCGATTTCTACGAAACACTACTCCTCCGTTGATAATGGATGGATTTTTACAAACGATGTGTCAAAATTAGGTATTTTTTGTGTAGACGCCCCCTTTTACCAATTCCTGTAACCAAAGTCCTTGGGCTTTGTCCCACAGGCCATCAAAATCCCAATGTATTTCTTATGAAGAAAAGATTTTGTTTACTTTAAAGAGACGAATAATTTTTGAATTAATATTACAGCTGTTTATAGTAAACACATGATACCATGATACACACAAGAGTTTTCAGACTGAGTTATCATTTTCAGTTTTGATAACCGAAGTCGAGTGATTGATTACATTGTCTTTGAGTTGACTCTTTTAAGTCATTGGAAATTATGGCTGTTATTCGTTTTGATAACGCATGTAATACTTTGCAATTGCTCGAATTCGAGCAACAGGTGCACTAGTTTTAATTATTATTGACGTAAAATCAAAAAAAGCATAAACGTGACTAATTTTTAATTACAAAAATTATATTCAAGCTACAATTAATTATTGGATATTTATACAATGCAACACTAATAAAAATATGTTATTTTAATGAAGTAATCTTTCTTTTGAGTAGTTTTAGCTTCATACAACTATTATAAGTTGAAAAAGTTTTAAGCTATAGCATTTTTTGTAAAAATTTGCAAGTTAGATTCTTTTTGCCGTCATTATCCAAGATTGCGGATTTAGCTGGAGTGGGAATTTTTGGGAATTCTCAGGAAATTTTAACCCATTGGGGAAGGAATTAATCCGCTACCTGCAGCACCCTCTGGCTGCAATTAATTTTACCAAATTTGTAGACTTTTACTCTAACTGCTATAGAAAGAAAACCTTAGGTAATAAATTAATAATTCTTTCACCATTTTGTTCACAGTAAAATTGTCTACAGAAAAGTGTTAATTGGATAGTCAAAGTTCAAAAATAAAAAAATATATATATATAAAGATTATAAAAATAAAAATTTTAAAAACAATATTTTGAAAGTAAACTTGATATACAAATTCCAAGATGAATCCAGACACCAAATAACACTACTATTATAAAGGTCAATCGATTCCCTACGTAGAAAAATCAAAAGTTGTGTACTTTTATAAGTAATAACATTTAAAAAAAAATTGTTTGTTTACCTTACCGCAGCTGATTTTTGGTGATATGTGGTTTCCATAGCAACACAAAATTTTTTGTTATTCGCTAAAATAAATGAGTAAATACGCAAATCAAGAAGCAAGATATTTATAAACATTATAATAGTAAGAAGAAACAAAAAGAGCAAAAAATAATAACAACTAAATAACAAATGGCGCTGCCTAGCGGTGACACGAGCAGCTCTCGTAAGTCGGCCTCCGGGCCTGCAGCGGCCGTACGAGTAACGCTCGTAAGTCGGCGCCAATGGGTTAAGGGGTGTGTCCCAAACATATTCCGGAAGAGTTTACCTTTGAACTAACTTGTTCTAGGTATTTTTTTGCATAACTGTCCTGTACTATGACTTGTGTTGTTGAGCAGGCTCTAGAATTTGGAACAAAAAAAACACTCAGGTTTACTGCTAGGCACTTGGCTACTCTTGCAACAGCATGCCAGCCAGCATTGAAGTAGACCCTGCCTAAGACAGACAGATTCAACATAAATATGCCAATGTTTTTCATTTTCAAGTTCGAGTGGGAACTCAGATTGAGTGATGCGCGATTGTGAGATGTGTAAACAATCTAAATGTTCCTTCTCAAGATGTTCCGCTCATCGGTTTTTTCGATGGCTTAGCAAAAGGTTTGTACGATCGAAATATTTTTCTCAATTGTTGCATTTGTTAAGCCAAAATGTCTATCTGCAACTGTTTACACTTCACGAGCAGTCACGAGGAAGTTAATTATTTTTTTCCAGATTTCTTATAGAATAGTATTGTGTACAACATACACTTTTGACATTAGAATAAACACTTTTGTCACTCCGTGATGTCAGCAGCAATTAACAAATTATTTTTCAGTAATAATAATACTGTTAATGTAACATTGTACAAGAAATTTCAGTCTTGCTACAAACATTTTGCTTAGAAAAATCTCTTTAAAAGATTTTATTAATTAAACCTATTGTGACTACAAGACTACATACATATCACTATTCTGTAGATAAAGGAAGTAATATCCATGAACCTTCCTCATTTTTGAAGTAAGAAAGGATCTCTCATTGGAGGAGAATCCCCGGGAGATACAAGAGAATATGCTAATTGCTCACGACGTGCTATACTAAACGATTGCCATGAGCATTGTTAAATGTCTCTCAGTAAGGACTTCTTGGTTCTCGTTCTCACTGAGGGGAATATGATAGAAATTATATACTTATGCCGTGCTAAACCGTAACAATCGCCACGAATATCTTGTTAAAAACCTCTCGCCACACAAAATACAATCAAAATATAAATAAATAAAAATACCTTTTATTAGCAAGAGCTCCTCAGTACAAACTGTTTTACAGGTCACACTTGTCAATTAACCTAATGCTAACTTAAAACTAATGTCTGAAACAAAATGCAGATCAAACACCTATTTACAATATTTTAGTTATCTACAATTGTGTATACATTTTCTTCAGCCTAGATAAAAAAGCTGGGACACTCAGCATCTTAAGGTCACAGGGGAGGTCATTTTACAGTCATACAGTTTAGGCCTAAAGTACGCAAAACCTCTCTTACCTTCTTCCAACCTCACCTTCGGGAAATGAAGCTGTTTGTCTTGTTGGGTATTGCGCTGAGACACAATCACGGGTGACCAGTCTTTCAATTAGGTAGGCTGGTTCCTTTTCGGATAGTACCCTACCCTGTGTACTAGAGTGCAGGTTTGCCTCCTGCACACAGCTGCTGAGAACAAGAGTCCGGCAGTTTTTTTTTTCAAATTGAGATATATTGGCCTCGTTTCCACAGACTATATACAATTCTCACTGCGGTGTTCTGCAGTCTTTGGAGCCTGTCCATGTCCTCCTTTAGTACAGCACTGACAATACAAACAATTGCATCAACTGATTCTTAGCTGACTCAGGTAGGATGGTTCGGCATTTGTACAGATCCTGCAGTCTACCCAACGCCAGCTGGTAAACGTGGGTGATGTGATCAGAAAAAGTAAGACCACTGTCCAGTACAACACCTAAAGTCTTAGCAGTGTGGCTCACCTTTAAATCCATCTGATCAAGTTTTCACCTGAACGTCTCCATCAATCTTTGGACAACGTTGGGCAGAGCAATGTGGAGAACAGTGCATTCAACTTGAGACCATGTTTCATTGACCCCTCATTGACGTTTTCCAAATCCGAGTTCACTCTCGCAACAGCCTGGTCAACTGAATTGACATCATAGGATAAATTCAACTGACAGTCATCAGCATAGGCGTGCACATTACTTTAATACTTTCTTATTAAATGGCGACCATACAAAGTAGGTATTTTAAGCCAAGAATGAAAGGAGATGAGTGGCGCGATCTTGTAGTCTTGTTAGTGACTAAGGCCGACATTCCTTAGACACAGCTGTTAATTAATAGCCCATACAGCTAATGGCAACTAAAGGACATACAGTTTATAGTGGAATCCGAACCACATTTTTGTCTTGGTATATACAAATTGGTCTAATTATCAGGATAGTACTGCGGATAGTTGTAGTACTCACTCGTGCGGACATTAATCCACACCAGGATTGTGTGTAATCCACACCATTGTACATTGCAGTAGTGTACGCTACTGGAAATGTTAAATATCTCTAGAGGTTCAAACAATCAAACATTTTGATCGTTCAATTTTTTTTACCAAGTCAAACTTATGGAATAACTTATAGTTAGCTATAGCAACTGTTATGACCCATCAACCATGTCAGCATCAAAAAATAAGGTAGAAAATAGAATTTTAGACATTAGCGCATTCTGTGACTGGCTCATACAACTACATTCTTTTTTAGTAAAAAATTGGAGACAGCTGGTCCATTTAGATGGGATGTCTACTTCTGTATCCAATAGTCAATATTAAAATTCATACAGGTGTGGGCAAAATTCAAAAAATAGCTTTTCATCCTATAAAACCAC